ATTCTTAATGTTGCTATCTCATCAAATTTGCAAATAAGTATTACAAGAAACCATTTTGCATTAGAATTAAGAAAAAAAATCGATAAACTAGAAGCTTATGCCGGTCGAAGCTAGATCTTTTAATGCTTTAAATAATTTTTAATGTGAATTATATATATGCTATAACTTGCATATATACATTATTGTAGTCTTTCAAACTGCGCGCTGAATTTGGTTTACCGGACTTATAAACGCAATTAAACTACTGGAATAATACGAATTAAATTAATTGACTATTCTGATATACGGCATCATACGAGTATTAGTAAGATGTTAATGTGCTGAAAAACTGTAAATAAATTTATTGCGAAAAATATTATCTCGACCGGCAGTCGAACCCGAAACTCTTGTATTCCGTAGTCCTAAGCCATTAGCTACTAAAAAAAATTTAATAATTTTTAAACCAATAAAAGAATTGTGTTCAAATTTTATGGAAGTATAGTTAATGATAAAACAATCTATGAAATTTTTATATTGTTAGTATTGTTTTTAGATGCGACACATACATCCTTAATTTTATTCTTCTTTATTTGTCACGATGATTCAATAAATATTCCACGTCAAGCGAAATTTCGATCACTGCTGAATTAACGAAGCGCAGCGATGTCTCGTTTCGCTTGCGCTCGCGATGCAATTCATGTCACAGTAAAAGCGTGACAGAGAGGCGCACAAGAAGAATTAGTTACCTATTATTTACAGTGTCGAGGCTAGAAAATTTCCACTTTTGTGCGGATCAGACTGAATTTTCCGTTACGGAGAATCGTATATGATTATATAGCAAGATGAAGAACGATTACGTCGGTGTTCAGCTTGCCAGACATTTAAACTGACCTTGAAGTCACAAGTTACATTACGATTTCTCTTGAAGTACATACGCATGACAAATTTAGTACGATTTTCTTTACAGTCTCTTTACAATCTCTTTACATCTCTCGAATTAAAATTCGACGTGCGTAAACAGTGAGATTTTTGAAGTCTGTAGTCGAAAATAAACACATAATAAATAATAAACTTATAAACTCGTGACTCAAGATTGGATATGATTTTAATATTAGATAAACGGATCTCTAAATTGAACGATGCCATTTAGAGCGCTGAATGCAGGCTATAAATTCTCAAGATGAACTTCTGATATATGTCATTCTACGCGTGTACATCGCGACACAAAGGCGCTCGTAATTTTTCAAGTTAATAGCGGGCCAAATAAAACGTAGTTTTATTATAGCCTCATGCCGCAAGAATATTAGTAAAAAAAAGCAAAACATTAATATGCTTATAAATTATATATACAGCACGCCTGACTGTTTATCAACTGGTAGTCGACATTTTTTCTTTGAAAGTCGATTTTTTGAATCGCAATGAAACTTTACATAACTCATTTTGAACTTAAAGTATTTATACAAAAAATTGAATATTCGTTATTGTTTTTAAAATTTTAAATTATAACAATAAGTATAATGATAAATCAATTAAATAAATAATAAAAACGTGTTATTTGAGAAAAATACATTGCTATAAACACAACTTTCATATGTAGCGTATTTAAAACGTAAATATTAACATGTTTGTAAAAAATAGGTACAAAATACATCCTTTAGGATACAGACATAATAGAGGAAACAGAAAATTAAAGAATTTTAATCTATTAGAAATCGAATACACCGGAATACATATAATAGTTTCTAATAAGTTAAAATCGTTATTCCTTATTCTTTCTATTGTATTCCTTATATTCTTTCTGAAAGTCGACTTTAAGTCGACTTTTAAGAAAATATTTAATCGACTATTAAACTAAGGTTAGATCAGAGCTGTCCAAGATCGGTGTTTTTTGGTTTGAAATTGAAATGTGTCGATATTCACGCCCATTATCATTCCTACTCCTCACTTCATTGTTGTTTTGTCGTAGCGCGCGATGCTTGATTTCATGGATGACACTAGTCCAAAATCGTTAAAAGTTTTTGATCTGTGTCCGTTGGCTTATTAGTTCACACAAAGACTGTGTTCCAAATTTACTGCCAGCACTGAAAATGCTACAGTTACGTGCACTATAGATTTTTAGTACTGGCAATCAATTTTGGAACACAGCCAAAGTCAACTACATTGACTAACTGACAACAGTGACAGCTGATTATAGTTAGGACATTTGTCGTCTTTTAGTAGACTAAAAGTTAACATTTAGTATAATTTAAATCGAGGATGCGTATTGTGGAATTATTTGTAATAGATTCCGATCGCGGAATTATTATTGTTCTCTAGATTTTTATTATGTTTTCTGGAAGAATGAAATAATTCCGATCGAAATTTATTCCGAACAATTCCATAATACGTATCTAGAAAGTATTACAGGATGCAGATACAATAGAAAGAATATAAGGAATACAATAGAAAGAATAAGGAATAACGATTTTAACTTATTAGAAACTATTATATGTATTCCGGTGTATTCGATTTCTAATAGATTAAAATTCTTTAATTTTCTGTTTCCTCTATTATGTCTGTATCCTAAAGGATGTATTTTGTACCTATTTTTTACAAACATGTTAATATTTACGTTTTAAATACGCTACATACATATGAAAGTTGTGTTTATAGCAATCAATTTTTCTCAAATAACACGTTTTTATTATTTATTTAATTGATTTATCATTATACTTATTGTTATAATTTAAAATTTTAAAAACAATAACGAATATTTAATTTTTTGTATAAATTCTTTAAGTTCAAAATGAATTATGTAAAGTTTCATTGCGATTCAAAAATTATTTAAAGATTTACAAAAAATAAATATTTTGTATATTTACACAACAACTAATCTCTGTATCACAATATAACTTTACATAAATCATATCTCAAATATTTTAAGAGTACTCGTATAAAAAATTGAGATTTTTGTCATTACTTTATAATACAGTTCTATATATTTCTATTATAACACAGATGAAAAAAATACTATTTCTAATTGAAATAATTTTAAGGATATACTGGTGCTAATGTTCTAACATTGACAATAGCTCGAAAATTTAATAAATTGCTTCTATTTATTATCTGAAGACGTATGTAAAACCTGAAGTCGATTCTCTATCTATAGTTCACGAGTTATCCAATTTAATTTTATATGAGTTCTTATGGAGTATCCCTGGTGGAAATAAATCGCTGAAATCTATATCAATTAACCCATTTTAGTACAATTTATACGGAAATGAGTTAATTGATATAGATTTTATCGATTTTCAGCGATTTCAGCGATTTATTACCACCGGGCAGCAGCATATTCCCATTTATCTCAACAAAATTATAAAGAAGCAACATTGCCAATATTCTAAAATTTTGTGAGTAAATAAAATACTTTGTGAGGAACGTTTCTAAAAAAAATTCATATCAATTTATTAACCCATTATCAAGATATTAACGATAAAGCAACACAAAATTCCGAATGGACTATATAACCACACACTCGACTGTGACTACTAACGTGACTCAAAACGTGACAATAGTGTCGATAATACGAAAGTAGTTTACATATTTTTTTGATTTTTAAGTACCACGTACTAATAATATTTGTGATATTTGTAGTATTAATAATATTTAATGTCTGATATACATCAAATATTATTAATATGCATCAAATGTTATTAATAAACTGTTTCGTTTCTTATGGTTGATTTCATGGAAAATTTACGTCCAAAAGTTTTATACCGACGATTACAATACAAATATATTCATTTGTATAATGCCAAATATTTCTATATATAATTAATTAACATTATTTAGGTCCTATACACGATACGAGCACATACGGCGCATATTTTAATTTATAAAAGTTTTAATTTATAGAATTTCATCAGTTTCAAATTTGAGTAACTTTTGCCTGGGTCTGCATAGCCAGAACATCCTCAATTTGTGAACCATCGTTAAATTTGTTGTATTATTTTTAAATGCGATCTTAGAATAATCTGTAATTTTTTCATAACTTTTTCATTGTTTTGAAAATATGTGTAATACATCCTTAATATCGTCCATCCTTCGGGAAACGTTTAGAAAAGAGTATTGGGGACGCGTTACAACGACGTGGAGGCGTTCTCCAAGAGACAGCGTTTGCTCACGAAGCACCGCGCACACGCTCAGATTCGGCGGTACATCGTCGCCAGAGCACGATGCAATCGCATCGCACCGACCGCATGAACCTCATTCTATGATGGTGGTAGTGATGGACGCTTAATGTGTCGAATACGTGACTGCGTCCGGTCGCGATGTTGAAACATAATTGCGTGTACAAAGAAAGTTTTGCTGTTTAAAATCTAAAAATTTTTCTAGATATAAATTTAAAAATAAATTTTGTTAGACTACCAAAATAATTATGTAGGACGCACACTGATCGCTAAAATAGTATCAATTTTTTTTTAAATATTGCTCATCATGTTTGAGTTTTCTTCAAAAATTTTGATGGATTAAGGACGTTCTCCGAAAAATCCATTTTCTTTAGATTTTTCTAAAACTTGCAGAAAAAGCTTGTTTTAATGTACTAAACATGTACTTTAAAACTCAATACCCGGAACGGGATCATTTTTGCACCTGTGCTCGACCTAAAGTTTACTCACGTCCACGCAATCGCCCTCATACACAGAAAATATTAGTTAAGTACCATTCCGCTCTTTCGCTCCACCTCTTATGCGTAGAAGCGCAAAAATGATCCCGCTCTGGGTATTGAGTTTTAAAGCACTAAAACAAGTTCAAGACTCTAAGACAAGCTTTTTCTGTAAGTTTCAGAAAGATCTAAAGAAAATATTATAGATTTTTCGAAGAACGTCCTTAACAAAATTATTTTCAGAATCTATCTAAATTTTTAGATATATTTCAATGTTTTTTTCTGCGCGAGGACCAGGAGGGGAAACTGCACCTCGGGTGTGAGAGCCTGTCTATCAAGTTTCTGAACGGAGACAGGACCGCACGTATATCAGCTCCGCCGAACAACGTCGCGGCGACGACGAAGGTAGCTGGCGCGAGTGATCCGATGGTGGGGCGGTTGGAAATTTACTATCGTCGAGAACAAGCCGGTGCACCATTCTTTCGGTGCCGTTCGCCTTGTGACGTCGATACCTACTCACCTTCATAAGTGTGATCGCGTCGAGTGAAGGCAGGCGCGTGCGGACGTATGCACGCAGACGTGTAGCAATCGCGGTCGCTGCAACAGACACCTGTTGCGGCATCGACCTGAACACAGTCAGCGCCGAACAGTCGCGATCGCGGGTTCGAGGTGGTTCCCCCGGGTTCATGTTCACCGAGTGAATAAATATTGCCCGATATCTTCGAGGCGTGTTCGTGATTTCTGACAACTCTCAGAATTTAGCAAACTCTTTTTTGGGTACCGTGTTCCCAGATACGGTAAGCGTTAAAAATGCTTGTAACGATAACTTGAATAATACAGATACACAGATATCAACAGATATGAATAATACAAATATGGGGAAATATTTACAAATTATGTATAAGATGGAATGTTCCTTTTCTAACATTCTATCAACTTACTATTTTGCAAATCTTATATACGTGTTATAATTTGATAAGTGGTAACACATCACAATAATAACACGAAAGAAACGTCTCAATACCTAGAACATATTTAAAACGTCAATGATTTTTAAACACTGCATTGTCTCTAAATTTTGTTATCAGACGTTATCTCATTTGTAGCACAATGGAAATTGTAACGATAATGATGAGTGTCAGTGATAATTAGTTTACATTCTATAGAATATAAGCGTTTATTGTGTAGAGTGTATACAAACTATTGCTCATATTTTATTTTCTCGTATATTCAATTATAACAATCATCAATAAAAACTACAAATAGTAATTTAACTACGATTGCGTGATCTAATGAAGATAATACTAATTAGCCACTTGTTTTCGGGCAATTAACGGATTGTCAATAATTGTCATTTTCCTCAATTAAGGATATTTGGACTATACTCTAAGTATAAAAATTATTAAAATTTAAAAATCACACACACACACACAAATTTCCTAAATTCTTTTTTGTTTCAGTAATCAAAAGTTTTAATCATGAATATACTTTGAAACCAACTACAAAGAATAAAACGATTTAGTCATAGACGTAATAAAAATAGACTGTACATTCCCTAAGCTTAATATCTGTGCTCCATTAGAAAGAATTGAATCAGCATTTCTTTTCGACTTGATACTTTAGAAAAAGAGAGAGTGATATGACTCAACCTCATTCTAAATCGACACTTCACAGAAACGCGCAGTCTATGCTTACTACTTCTATGACTTTGACTTAGGATGGTTTATACGACGCAATAATTATATTTTACTGTAAATTTCAAGTAAATAACTTTTAAACGAATGAATAGATCCAAAGAAACTTTTCTACAAAAATATCTATTATGAGATATTTTCTACAAATATCTATTATGCGTAATATCTTACGCAATCAATAATACTGATTAGTATTTAATATTTTGACGATCTTAGATCAAAATTATTGACAATGTTTTAAGTCAGTTTTATATATATTATGGACTTTATTCGATCACTAAGTATACTGTCAGCACCAACAAATCCTGATAATATTATGCGATGATCCGGATTTTTTAATTCTCTGTTATCAGTATCGCACTCTGTACATGGTAGGGGATATTGATGTTCCCGAACGACAAAGTCCAGATCTAGATATTTTATCTTAATCCATCAATTTATACATTATATTTATATTTGCTGAAACTTGACACTTTATTATTGTCCGTGTAAAATCTCCATTAAAGTTATTAGTTTTATTGATATATGCAAAAAATTTTATTTAATTCGTAATGCTACTTTCTCATCAAATTTGCAAATAAGTATAAAATGCGATTTTACATAAGAATCAAAACAAACAAAAATCAAATAATTTCTAAATCAATAAGAGAATATGCTCAAATTTAACATAAATATTTAGACATAATAATAGAACAATCCATGGAAAATAGTATAATAAGTTTTGCTTAATATGAAGAAGTTCTGAAATATACAAATTACGTAGTACATTGAAAAACTTATACTTATGCGGAATCGAGTGATGTATTGTTTCTTGGACAAACAATAAAAACAAGAGAAAAAATCGTAATCAAAGATAATAAATCTAATGCTATTACATTTATTGATAAAGTTGTAAAGTAAGACCTTGCTTGGACCTCTATCATAAACTCTACCATAACTTCTATCAATATATTTTCAAACAAATAACTTGTTTCGTTGTTTGTATTCATTGTAATGAAATAATATATTATTTAATTGAAAGATATTACTTCAAATAATAATGTTATTTTTGTCAAAACAAAGAGGTTTCTCGAATGAAACAACAAAATTTTTATTCAAACAAATAATACTTAACAAGCGTATGTTATTTCAATAAAACAAATTTTAATCAAATAAATAGGAATACTAAATCCAAAGAAATCTTTTTTTCTCTGTATACATTCTCCGTATAATAATAAATAATATAAAAATAAATAATATAAAAACAAATAATATAAAAATAAATTTTA